CTCTCCCCCCTCCCCCCACCTCCACTTTGTCCACAGTGCCTCTCTCTCCCTAGGCTGGCCATCGCCTCCTTCTGAAGCTGTCCTGGATGTGGCAGCCGTCAGCACCACGCCCCCTGTCTCTATTCCAGCTGCCCTCTGGCTTCCTCCTGACTCTGTTTCGTCCATGAGCAGGCTCTGATCTCACCTGAAGACCCCAGCTGCAGCTCCCTCCCTTCTCCATGCTCGGTCCTGTTTGACTCCTTCCTCTGCTCCACAGCGTGTTCCCTTTACATGAACCCTGGGAGGGGGGGGACCACAAAGCCACCGTACCTCCAAGTACCCCTCCGCTCCATCAGTGATGGAGCCACTCAGAGCTTAGGGATTATCCTCCTGCCGCGGCATTCCTGTGCGGCTGCCATCCCCAAAGGGCCCTCTCCGTCCTTCATTACCCAAGGCAGTGTCTGTAAGTACTCTGCAGTAGCTTAGCAGAGCGTTGTGTCCAGGGGGCCGTTCAGACACTCCTGTGGAAGGCAAGCCACATTTCAGCATGGGAACGCATCTCCTTGAGGGCTGTCGTCTCTTCCACACCTCAGCCCTCACGTCCACCTCTTTTCCTTCGGAAGGGGTTACTCCCGTGGCCTGATTGGCTTCCCCAGCTCAGCTCGCTCGCCCATTCTGCCACGGGCCATGTGACGCCCTCGCCCTCTCTCATCCTGTTGCTCATGGCCACACTGAAACCCAGCCCTCACTGTATATGCACAGAGCTGGACGGGGGTCGGGGAGGGTGACCTCAGGAGACCTCGCAGCTGACTAGAAGGCCCTTTCTCTAACCGAGCTCCCTAACAGACTTCACTTACAGTTTCAGAGGGAGTTTCTCAGGGACTTCTAGGACACGCAGAGAGAGTACAGTTAGAGTTTAATGCAAAAGCAGGTGACTCACGAGCTCAGGGCTCATGAGAGTGGGATTTGATGGACAGGGACCGAGGCAGGATGGCAGTGCATGCCTGCCATCCCCAATTCTTGGGAGCCTTATGAATTCAAAGCCCACCTAGGCTCTATGGTGGGGGAGGGAGGCAAGAACATCAGTTAACATGGAAAGTTGGTTCTAATAAAACTGTGTCATTTAGAAGGTGTATGTTCGCGGCCCTATTGTCCAACTTTCTTATTTTTAGAAATATGGTGAGGGAGTTTTCAGGGAAGTTGCTTGTGATCACACAGCATGCAGAGGCAAAACTAGTTCTAGAGCAACATGAAGCCAGGCGACGGGGCAGGTTCTGTGATGCTCCTTTCCTCAAGCACAGAGGCCTGTAGTTCGACATAGACATCCGTCACCCAGCACCCTCGGTAAATGCAGAGATGAATCCTATCCCTCGGTGGATGCCCACGTGGCGCATGTTGACTTCTTCCTTGAAGGTGGCTTTGGTTAGGATAGGAGTGGACAACAGGTTGACTCTTCATACACCTCCCGCAGCATGCACAGGACACACATCTATAGTTTGTCTTCCTCATTTTTCAAAAAAATTTTTTTCAAGTAATGGAATCCTAGGGTTCAAAGGGGTCTTAGAGATATTTCAGTGAACTCGCTGTCAATTTAGAAGCCTCCAGTTTGAATATTTCCGGGGAGCTCATTTATAGCCAGCTCTAAGAGTTCTTCCTTATTAGGGAGCTAAAATCTCCCTTTCTGTCATGGGTTGTTTCCTGCCGAAAGCTGCCCTAAGTCCAGACTTTCTCTCCAGGCCAGCTTCAGAGTGGATGGTGGTAGACAGTGTGGTAACTCCCAAGTTTCCTCCTTTTTTAGGAGAGTCTCCCCAATCTCTTTAACATGTATCAACTATGTCATGATTGTCTGCTCTCCTGTTTGGCCACACCTGGCGAGATGTGGCCTGATTTCCAAGGTCCAGATGCAGCGAGAACACCCAGTGTTGAGCACACAGCCCCCTTTCAAAGCCGGTCTTAACCTGGGCTTCCCTCCGCCATGCACTTCTATAATTGTTTTCTTGAACCTGAATGCAAAATATTGAGTATAACCCTAGTAGATGGCACCCCCACCTTGATCTCCAAAGATGCCAGCAGGTTAACATCATGCCCCTGGCTTCATGGGTGTGCAGGGTTCCAGTCAAACAGTACCAGGGTGTGGAGCTGTTGGGCACGGGCAAGGGACATTTATACACCCTGGAGGCTGCTCGCTGCCTCAGGGCTCGGCCTCAGACCTCGGGCCTTCCAAGTTGCCTCCCTCACCTGCCTCCCACCCTGGTGCCAGACCCAAGGGTCACTGGCCTCCTTGGACTTGTTTCCACAGCAGAGGAAGGTACAGAGGAAGACGAGAAGATGCAGGCTGAGAAAGACGGAGGTAAAGGCAAGTCAGGACCCCTAGTTTGCATGGGAGACCAAGCTGTAGAGCAGTAGATGCTGACCTCCTTCCTTCCCTTTGTTTCCGACCTCTCCCCTACCACACCCTCCCCAAGGCTGCAGCCCCCACGGTGCCTCCTGCTGTTCTCCCAGCTGCCTTTGCGGTGTGCCCACAGGTGGTAGTGTCAGGCCATTTCCTCCTACTCCGGGGTGCAAAGGAGTCACAGAATATTGATTGCCCTTCCTCCTGGGGTTGACGGTCTAGTTGGGGAAGCACGACCCGACTGTGCAGAGGAAGTATGGGAGGAACCAAAGCAGCAGAAAAGCTCGATCAGGAAGGGTCAGATGTTGGCTGGGGAGGTGGCTCCCTTGGGAGATGGCTCACCTCGCACACCCAAAGGCCAGGCCAAACCCCGCACCCCACGAACCACGGGAGCAGTGGCATGCACCTGGAATCCCGGTCCTCGGCAGGCAGAGGCAGGAGGATCCGAAATTCAGGCTCATTCTCTGCTGCAAAGTGAGTCTGAGGTCAGTGTGGGCCACATGAAACCTTGCCTCAGAAGAGAACACCGTTAAAGCTGGGTGTGGTGGTGCCCGCCTTTAATCCCAGCACTCAGGAGGCAGAGGCAAGCGGTTCTCTGAGTTCCAGGCCAGCCTGGTCTACCAAGTTCCAGGAGAGCCAGAGCTACGCAGAGAAGCCCTGTCTCAAAAGAGACTATTGATGTAGAATAAATAATACTAAGATGTTCTGAAAAGTAAGAGACTTGTAGGTTGGAATAGATGGCTTCCTGGGGGAGTAAAAGCGAGAAAGAAAGGTGTTGGCCAAGGACAGTAATACCTTCCGAGTCTCCCTGTGCATAGAAACTATTCATGTGCTTGTTCTGTGCTAAGTGATTTCATGTCAAATCTCATGCGACCCTTTATGTTAAAATATACAGATAATAATATCCCCATTTAAGTAATAGGGAAACAGATTCTGGGGGAGTCTGTTCACACAGCCTCTGGATGAGAATAAGTATAAGCAGACTTGAAGTGGGTCTTACTGACTCCAAACTTCATGTTCTCTCTCTCTCTCTCTCTCTCTCTCTCTCTCTCTCTCTCTCTCTCTCTCTCTCTCT